GGGCTGCATTCACAGAGAGGACGCAGAGCGGTCCGCTAGAGGGCAACTGTAGGGTGAAACAATGAGAAGGGAATGGCTTTGTAGCTGGAAAACAAACCTTTAAGCAGCGAGTTAATCACCCAAAGAAAAAGAAAAAGAAAGGTGTGGCCCAAAGACTCACCGATGACACAAAAGGGCTTCCTGGCAAAGCGCAGCCGACCCTGCCATCCTCTGTAGCGACAGCAGCATCCCGCTGACCAGATACGGATGATGAATTCCAACCCGAACACCACAATCATCACAAACTCCTGTTGGAAGCATAGAAACAACAGTTGTTTTGGAAGCGTGTTGATGACGGCAACAGAGAGCATTAATCTGGTTTTCCAGGGATTAAATCAAACACAGTTAAGCCAGTGGATATATTAGACGGGAAGTAAACAGTTATGCACCAAATACACTGGCAAAGAGAGAAGCAAATGTAAGGACCAGAACAAATGTGCCTGACAGTCCGGGTCATGGTTGGACTGAGGAGAGACAAACTTACAGGTTGTTGGTGGAGCTGATGTGTATAAAATAAAGACACAGGATAGTTTGGCTCAGTATTTTAACATCAGGCTCTGGGAACTGAGCAACTGGTCTCCACAGAGACTTAAAAGTCAAGCCTAAAAATGCCACAAAGTGCAGTTCCTGTAATGTCCACTTGAGGCTGTCTCCTGAAGTGAGTCAATCACCATAGACTTCCATGTTAAAAAGTCCAACTTTACAGCAGAAGTAAACATGTTTACAGCCTGTACAAACAGAGCTTTGATCTCTACAGCTGATTTCTCCCTTCATTACAACTGAATCTATTTTTTTCTCTTCACCCATTTTGACTTAAGGCTTGACGTTAGGCACTGTTGGGGGTGTGGTAGGTCGTATCTTGGCTGTTACTCATATGCTGGGCTTTACCTTTGCTAAATGAACCAGTGAACTGGACCTCTGGACTCTGCTGTTAGTGCTTTTTGGAGCTTTTTAATGCACTTACTTGACCTGTTGTGCTATTAATGGTACGAAGCGACTGTCC